CCTGAGTCTGTAGCAGAGTTATTCGTGAAACTTGCCCTTTTGGTTATTCTTGGGCGTCCCCGGGGTCTTTGGTCGGTCTTTTGAGCAAGTATTACCTGGAGACGAGCCTTTCATTCTGGATAAATTCGTAATGCGTGCCCAAACCATGTGATAATTTTCGCTGTTCTTCTAATGCTGATATTGCTACTCATACATATATTGGGAAGAGGGTTAGTTGTAAGTCTAAAGGAGTTATTCGGTTACTCATCTGAACACCATAAAAACTATTACCTCTGGCCGTACGACTAGTACTTCCATTAGCTACGTAAAGTATTTACTTTCTAGAGCTATAAACATTGGCAGTGCAGATAAACGTAGTGCTACTGGTGTTGATAATACTAGCTGTACTTCCACTGTTGGTAGTAATGATAGTTTTTGGTCTGTGGCTAATATTACCACTCGCCCTATCAATACTAACAGTTCTGTGATTCGTTGTACTGCTAGTGTTGATACAAGAAACGGAGAAGTGGAATCCAATGCTTGTGTTTTCAGGGATCGATGAAACATACAGACGTCGGATGATGTAGTTGTTATCTGAAACATTCTTCAAACTCCACACTGTCGAAATCATGTTAATGTTATATCGTTCAGTGTTTAATGATTGTTCAACGAGGTACACTGTTATTTTCCTTGTGTCTCAATCTTTTGCTGATCGTCAATCGTTGTGAAATCTAGTCGATCTGTAAGGAAAGAAAAATGAAACTTTTTTGCCACTACAATGGCTATCGACAAAATAGTGTTTCTACTGCATAACAACGGAATGAAGGTAACAAAACGTATTGATCCTTATTCCTCTAGTTGTGTATAATAAGATGACCTTCACCTGTTGAGCATAGGCAGAATGAGATGCTTTTGTTCATCTGTCTTTCTCCGAGTCCTGTAGAGAAAATACAAGTTATTTAAACGTCCGTTTGCAATAGGGACACAAAGACTTATCTGTAGAACCATAGACCTTCGTCTACTGGATATCTCTGAGGAATCCTAAAATGTCTGACGCCAAACAATATCAAATTTATTTATTAAATAAAGCGACTCGGATCATGTGTGCAATCGCTGCTACCCAGCTAATTACTTGAGTCTTCTTTGCATGTATTTCCGAAATCGTTACTGAAGCATATCCCGTGACCACAATCTACGATTTTTGCTGGAAATGTACCTTCAAGTGATTTAGGCAGCTTCGCGTCTTCTTTCACTTAAACGTTTTCTTCGCCATGGAAAATTGCAACTGCCCTCAGTTCTGGCTGTAATTTATTTCTGGAAACGTTTTGTTTCGATAACTAGTCGTCAGCTTTGTGTTTCTGCTTCCACTTTTGTAAACTTCGTTCTTAGGTTCTTTATTGGGCTACTTGTTCTTGGATCCGTTTTTCCGGCAGAAGAAAATTCCTGTGATTTCTTCAGAGTGCGGCAGAGGTGAGTTTCGACTGTTAATCTGTTTATATACGAGTATGTGTTCATATATTCGATTTTGAAACTGCAACGATCTGAAGCGCTTGAATCAGCCAATGGTTGCTCCATAGTTCCCTTCACAGTTAAGTTATAGTTAGCAAGTCATATCCGGATCATATATCATGGAGGTACTAGCCATCTATTACTCAGAGCCATTCTTTATTTGGTGTTTTCTGTGAATTCTGGGTTGAAATAATTTACAGCTAACGATGCGTCACTTTTCCATTATTGTGGCACCTGTATTGCTCACTTTTCACTGTTCACTTTTCAATGTCCACCATTCGGCATGGTCTGTGCCGTTAGTCGCCTTGTCCTTTTCTGAGGGCATGGAGCACAACTCTTTCTCTAGAAATTCATATCAGTAACCTTCTTCCTTCTCAGTACCGTGATTTTCGTAGGTATGTATTGTTTGTTTCATGATATTCTTCGTCCTCTTGCCATCCTTGTAATTTACTGCCAAGATTCGCTCTGGATTTTCACAATTTGTGCAATGTAATACAGATTTTTCCATGTTTTCTCTGAAAATTCTTGTGCACAACTGAATTTCGCCTTTCCGTCTTGGTTTATAATCAGACTTTTGCTCTTTTCATCTATTTCTTTGAAAGGTATGGCATCCGTAATTGCCTGGTTAACGTTTCAACAACAATGAATATGGATCTCTTAGTGGCTAAAGAGAATAATTTCGCCTATTTGACCTGGTGGACGAGCCTTTGCTTTTGTCTGAGCACTCTGTTCATTGTTAGACGCCGAATTTAACTTTCTGGGAATATACAAACGTAACTTTATTCGTAATAACTGCTAATTCTCAGAAGCGCAGACTTCCCACGGTATGCTGAATGCTGGCGTATAAAAGTACGACATGCACTGACTTATCGGCCTGGGTACACTGATAAACCATACAGTTAGAAAGTTTTAAAGGAACTCTACGTATCGTAGTGCTTTGGATTCCACCAGTCATTGACACCGTTTGACGGCTGACGAAAACCAGTGAAAATGCACTCTATAAAGCTACCGCCCCGCGATCTAAGGGAAACAGCATCCTTTGAAAATGAATGAATAAATAGCTGAAGCATCTGTTTGGATATGTAGATGTACTGACGAGGTCATCACTTTCTTATGTTGCGGTTTCATAAACAGCTTTTATTCATTTCAGATCGTAGCAAGATTGGCGGAAGTTCGGTTGTTTATCTTAACTTAAACCTTTTGGCTCCTGATCCTTCCTCCAAAGACGTTTCTCTGTTCCACTGGGAGCAGCTGACGGCGTTTTTCAAAGAAGTAAGACTCAAAAATTCGCTTCAATGTCGATGGTCAGTTCGACTCGGGCGTTGCTCTCAACTCGCTTTCAGATCGGCAAGTGTTTACAAATTCTCCTTTCACGCTCACCCTATTCGGAACTGGCCGGA